GTTTTGTTGTGCCACGCATTACACAACACTTACCACTTACACAAATTGATTACACATCATTACACATACCATCAGACATTACATTAGCTGATCCCACCTTTTACACCCCCTCTCAGATAGACATGCTGCTGGGAGCGGATGTTTTCTGGAACGTCTTATGTTCTAGAAGCATTACATTAGGCAGAAACAAACCAACACTCAGAGAAACTAAACTGGGTTGGTTAGTATCTGGCACTATACATTCATCTAATCAACAATCGCAGAATACAGTCCACTGTCATTTTAATAACACTATCGATGATGAACACTTACAACAAAAACTTACCAAGTTCTTTGAACTTGAAACTATACAGACTCACACTTCATTGTCTAAGGAAGAGCAATTGTGTGAACAAATCTTTATGGAAACGACTTCACGTCAAAAGGACGGTCGTTTTATTGTAAACATTCCATTAAAAGCAACACAAAATTCATTAGGTAATTCATACAATCTCGCTTTATCACGATTTCTGTCTTTAGAACGCAGATTTCAACGAGATTCAATATTCAAATCTTTATATACAGAATTCATGAAGGAATACATTGAATTAGGACACATGACCGAAAATACACATTCACACAAAGATACAAACGCGTACATATTACCACATCATGGGGTAATGCGCGACACAAGCCTTACTACTAAGTTACGTGTAGTTTTCAACGCGTCTGCAGTGACGACCTCTGGCTTATCCTTTAATGACATTCAGTTAGTTGGCCCAACGGTACAAGATGATCTCATAAGCATATTAATTAGATTTCGCCAACATAAATACGTTGTCACTGCGGATGTCGAGAAGATGTACCGTATGATTAATGTCACTGAAAGTCAACGTACATTGCAACAAATACTGTGGCGTTTTGAGCCAACAGATGAGTTAAAACAATATAAACTCAATACGGTAACATACGGTACAGCTTCTGCACCTTACCTGGCTACGAGATGCATTAAACAATTAGCGAACGAATGTTCAGACAAGTCTGTAGCTGGTGTCATTAATCACGACTTTTATGTCGATGACATGATCACAGGTGCAGACTCGGAAACACAACTCGTAACCAACTGTAAGGGTGTAAAACAACAGTTAGAAAAAAGTCAGTTTCACCTACGAAAATGGAATTCCAATAATCCATTAATCATTAATCAAATCGTCGGTGAAACCGGCAATGACTCATTACTTAATATAACTAAAAATGAATCCTCTAAAACTTTAGGATTACTTTGGGGTTGCAAGGATGATGTGCTTATGTTTTCATTCAATATAACACAACCTAAACAGATTACAAAACGTACTGTTCTGTCCCTAATTTCACAAATCTTCGACCCATTAGGTTTAATAAATCCTTGTGTGTTAGAAGCTAAAATAATTTTACAGAAATTATGGGCATCAAAATTATCATGGGATGAAGATATACCTGATAAAATCAAATCAAATTGGCTAGTAATCATAAATACCTTGTTCCATATAAGCAATATTAAAATTCCTAGACACGTTATCTGCCATAATCCAAAAACAATAGAAATACATGCATTCAGTGACGCATCTTTACATGCCTATAGCGCATGTATTTATGTCAGATCCATAACTCAAAATAAAGTAATTTCTGTTCATTTGTTGACAGCAAAAAGCAGAGTTTCACCCTTAAAACCGATGACTACACCCCGCTTAGAGTTGTGCGGTGCGCTTCTCTCTGCAAGGCTTGCAGAGAAGGTTAAATTATCTCTTCGGTTACATATATCTAGTTGTATATATTGGTGTGATTCTACAATTGTTTTGAGCTGGTTAAAATCCGATAAAAATCAATTGTTTAAACCATTCGTTAATAACCGAGTAAGCGAAATAACAGAAATTTCAAACCCGTGCAATTGGCATTACATCCCCACAAATTTAAACCCAGCTGACATAGGGTCACGTGGTTTAGATGCTGTACAACTGCAACGTTGCGATCTGTGGTGGTCCGGGCCCTCATTCTTACGTAATGACGAGTCCACATGGCCAACACAGCCTACACAAATACATGAACACGACTTACCTGAAACTAAGATTCAATGTCATGTCAATACATCATTATCACAGTTTTCTTCCTTTATACAACGATTTTCTGATTTCTGTAAATTACAACGTGTTACAGCATACATTTTAAGATTCATTCATAATTGCAAACATACTCATACAAAACAAATAGGTTATTTACAAATACATGAACTTAGAAACGCTCATAATGTGTTGTGTAAAATTGCACAATATGAGTCATTTAAATTTGAATACGATATCTTAAACAAAAATAAACCATTACCAAGTAAAAATAAATTATTACATTTAAATCCTTTTTTACACACAGATGGTTTGATTCGCGTGGGAGGCAGACTATTAAACTCATACTATAGTTATGACACCAAACATCCTATCATGCTACATGCATCACATCACATCACTCACCTAATATTCCGTCACTATCATAAAACCTTAATTCATGCCGGTCCACAGTTACTCACAGCAAGCACACGTCATAAATATTGGACGATAGGCGCACGTAATCTATCTAGAAAAATAGTACACAATTGTATTACATGTTGTAGGTTTTCAGGTCGTAGCATACAACCTATAATGGGGAATTTGCCTGAACAACGCTTACATGCAGACTATCCATTCATTAACACAATAGTTGACTATGCCGGTCCAGTCCTGATAGTGAATCGAAAGGGTAGAGGATGTAAATTAGTTAAATCATACATATGTATATTTGTATGCTTGGCAGTCAAAGCGGTGCACAGAGTACTAGTAACCGATCTATCTAAAGATGCATTTATTGCTGCACTGAACCGTTTCATCGGTCGCAGGGGCAAACCCGTCAATATATTTTCAGATAACGGAACGTGTTTCGTAGGTGCATGTAATGAACTAAATAAATTTCTAAAACATAATTCTAATTATATTAGTTCTCACTTTGCAAATTCTATGATAAATTTCAAATTTTCCCCAGCATACAGTCCCCACTTCAATGGGTTAGTTGAAAGTACAGTTAAGGCCGTAAAATACCATTTAAAGAGAATAGTTTCCTTTGCACATTTGTCATATGAAGAAATTAATACATTATTAATACAGATTGAAGCTATCTTAAACTCTAGGCCTCTCACTCCTATCTCCTCAGATCCCTCCGATCTCGAAGCCATCACTCCTTCTCACTTTCTTATCGGACGTACACTCACTCTGTTGCCTTCTCCACAGGTCTCGATAACTGACCCTGCTAAGATATGCACACTTTCACGTTATGTGAGAATACAAGAGCTGAAGGCTCATTTTTGGAATAGATTTTATAAAGAATATATTTCAGAACTGCAGACCAGACACAAGTGGAAGCGTGCTAACGGACGACTGAGTATAGGCGAAATGGTACTAATCAAAGATGACCGTTTGCCACCAAGTCGCTGGTTACTCGGACGAGTGACCACTCTTTATCCTGGCTCAGATGGCGTCACCCGTGTTGCTGTTGTACGTACTGCTACAGGAACTCTTCGACGAGCATTCAACAGACTGTGTCCGCTACCAATACTACCACACCCAGTGCCAACGGGCAGAACCCAAGATGTTTCTTCTTCTTTGTGTACTGATGAGCAAGAACCCTAACGTTCCTGGGGCGGAAACATGTTAACGCTTCGTATTGATGTTCACACAAATACATCCAGCGTGCCTACTGCACCCAACTACGGCAGTGCGTTTGAAATCGTCACACCGTCCAGTCATTATTTTTGTATATTTTTTATTAACTCAATAGCGAAATCATTTTAAGACATATAGCATTTTTATTTAAAATACAAGCAAAGGTAGCATCTAACTGCCCAATATTTTAATGAATAATTTCAAAATTAAATATATTTTTCTCATGATCTAAATATAAATACAAAGTAATCTCCGTTGTAGTTTTCTATCTAAAATATATGAGCAAACAGTTTAATATAAATAATAATAAATGGCAAAAAAGTGAAATGCTTGTGGACGTATAATACACCAGAACGCAGTGACAAAAGTGATGTAATAAAACAATATATAAAAAGAATACTCATGTTTTAAATATGGATAATAACGAACGATTGTTGACGAAGTGTTCACGAAGTGATTCTTATTGTAGGTCTAAAATATACCTATGAGGAATGTTAATGACATATTAAAATATAATATTATATGAATAAAGTATATCTATGTAAAAATGTATTAATACATAAAAAAATGTATACATGGCGGATTTTATACCTGATAGCATTCTCTATCAGTCAACCGTCACGTTGAAAAGAGCTCAAGTAAATTGTTAACAGATAATCTTCTTAGTATTATAAATGGGAAAGTTTGAAACTATGGATGGATAGATGAATGGATGGATGTTTGTTACTCTTTCACGCAAACACTGTCGAACGGAGCTTGATGAAACTTTACAGTAATGTAGCTTATATAGCAGAATAACTCTGTCTGTCTTTCTGTCTCGCTTTCAAGTTTTACTTAACGGATTTAAATTTAATTTGGTATACAGATAGTCTAGACTCTGAGAAAGGATATAGGCTACTTTTTATTGCGAACAAAAGGTTTGTAAGGTGTTGAAAAGGGAGATGAAGCGTTGTATGGAAGTATCGACATTATTAAATCTAGAGCCTTGAAACTTATTTTCAAGGCTGTTGATTAAATATAAGTAAACATGACATTCAAAGTTCGTAAAAATGTTACTTTAAGGGAGTAGTATAAACTAGGGGATGAAAGTTTGTTTGGAAAGTCGTAATTTTTGAATTTAGATGAAACTTTTTTCTTTGGATTTTTTGGGTTAAATTATTGAATATTTTTTTTTATTTGGTCAAGATCATCGACGAAGTCTCGGGCTCAGCTAGTAGGCTTAAAGTTTCATGCGGGTGAAACCGCAGGCAGAGCTAGTTAATATATAATAGCTAATGGTATATTGTTAAAGTAACTTACCTGAACAACCTGCAATTCTTGATTAAAGTTATAAAGGCCTGTCGGAACTTTCTATTCATGAAGCAATAAGTTATGGGATTGCAACATGATGCGCAGTACGCCAATAGTTGGAGGCACACCACCCCTTTGGACCCAATGTATTGGTACAATTCGTCTGGGTAGAACAGGTAAATCTGGTCAGGAAAAAGTAAATTTTAGTATTGAATGGAATGTCTATTATTTTATTTTAGAAATTTTATTTTTTGTCCTTCATATATGAAATATCTAAAATCTTATTTTAATATTATAAACGCGAAAGTTTGTGAGTATGGATAGATGTTTGTTACTCTTTCACACAAAAACTACTGAACGGATTTTGATGAAACTTTACAATAATATAGCTTATACATCAGACTAACACATAGACTATAAATTTCACGCGGATGAAATCGCGGGCACAGCTAGTAATATTTCATATATAAATGACAGTGTTTAAAAAATTAGAGATTATAATATATACTACTACAACACTTATAAATGTAAGAAATAAATAATATAAACAAAATTTTACAGACGTAACACGAAAATTTTATAAATATAATTATTTATTATATATAGTCGAATTGAATTCAATTTCAGCAAATCAATTGTATAATAGAATATACAAAATAAATCAAACAATATATTTAATTTAATATAATTCAGTATTTATATAAGTAAATTAAGTTTTAATTTGATTAACTTACAGTATTTATAACATGGAGTGGTGTCCAACAGACGAAAAACTCCATTATTATAACGAACAGCATTCGTATTACCTGAAAATTATGCTTTAATAATTAAAAAGGTTCAGAGTAAAGTGCAAAATTAACAAGAATATCTATCAACATATTTGTGAAGCCTGTAAAGTGCGAGTTTTTTTAATGGATCATAATGGAATGCTGAACACACTTGCACTAATTGTGTACGCTGACACGGGCACCAGTGAAGGATGATAATATGAGTCAGAGATCAGTCATAGTGACATAATACGGATTAACCATTATGGTTTACAGACGAAACCGCGTGGAGGTCGATCTGACACGGTAAAATATCAGCGGTCATTAGTTGGGGACTACTACTACTAATTTTACTACTACTACTAATTACAAAACAAACAATCCTTTCGTTTAGAGTTCTTATGGATAATAATGAAATGCTGCACCCGTCTGCGCTTACGGTTTCCGCTGGTGGGGCACTAGTAGAGGGTGATAGAATGAGCATGAGGTCAGTTAGCCCACCGTGGTAAATTCACCATGAATTTGTCACGATGTTTTCCAGGGGGAGCCACGTAGAGGTCAACCGGATATGGTACATTCTATTCAATCGAGGATACATTCACTTACTTTTCTTTTAGCTTCTATACTTTTATCAATATGTGTTGACCTAACAACGTGTCTGAATTCCATATCCACAGTATGCATACAATAGGATTGTGTAGATTTTGATTCCTCCGAGACACCTTCGTTTTCCTGTAAGCAAAAATCAGTATCAATATTCGATTTTCAATTTCTAATGCTAGAATTGTAATTAATGAATGTTCCAGCCTTACCGAGAAGATATAATAACTAAGAATAAGATAAATAGAATAACATCTAAGAATAATTTCACATTTTTAATTGCTCATTTAGTATTTACTCTTAAAGGCTAATTAAAACTATGAATGACGACCTCGGTGGTCTAACACACCGCTTTACGTCCGATGGTCGCGGGTTCGATTTCTCGCACGGCACAAACCTTTGTATTCATGAGTATGATTGTTTGTATCGGTCAATTAAAAAATTATCTATGTTTAATAATAGTCAATAATCAGTTATCTAGTACCCATAAGATAGCTTTAGCTAGCTTAACCTGGGTCTAGATGGCGCTGTGTGAATTATTCTGGGATAATTATTATTATTATGAAGTGTAGACAAATTCTTTATTTAAAATCTAAGAAAAATCCCGTGTATAATTTTTTAAGAAACATGGAGCTCAATGGCCTCCGTATATATACAAATATTTTTCATATCTTATAAAAAATTTGATCAAATTTCAAGCAATAAATATTGTTAACCTTTGTAAACCTCAAAAAACTCTAGATCGCTAACTAGGCAATAAATAAAAGTACCTGCAATATTATATTATTATTGTATTTTATAGAATTATTTTAAAAATAATTGCACAGTTACAGGCACTGTAGATAAAATACTCTTCCATTAACCGTTAAAAAAATAGTAATTAAATATCATTCGAAAGATTAAAACAAATTGAAAGTTAATTGATAATATCGTAACGCGATTTGAAAAGTAATATAAAACTTAGAAGTTATAAAAAAAATATTCCAGTTACAAGTAAAAACTTAACTCTAAGAGATAATATGTACCTGTTTCAACGGATGTACTTCAATAATTTTATTAACTTCATGAACGCTTCAGCTTCAAACAAAATTACTATTAGAAAAAGTGCTCAAATAACCATAGATACAATGCCCATCGTCGACAGAGAATTTAGCCTAACACTCTTGAAAACCATGTCAAGTCACGGACAACGGCTTTGGCGAAATGTTTTTCCACGCAGATTTAATTTGTGGAATGAACTGCCTGCCAAGGTTTTTTTCTAGAGACTACACCATGGGGTTTTTCAAGAACGGTATTGCTTGGTAATGTTAAAGTTTCTCAAGAGTCAGCAACGCGCACGTAACGCTGATCAACTGAGCACGTAATCAAATGGGGAATATGTTGGACTTCCAACAACTATATATACATGTACAATCGAAATTAAGCAAACAATGTATTGTTACTTATATATGTAGAAAGCATTTCTTATACTTGTAATATTTAAAACATAAACAGTTTTGCTTCAAAACGAATATTTAAAAAGTCAATTTAGAGAGCAAAAGTAATCAGGGAAGGACTTTTAATTTGATTTAATAACCTAATAAAACGTTGAATATTCCTGTATTTCACAAAATATCCAATCGAGAACTGTAAGCAAAATTTGGAGCAATGTTTTTAGTTATGCGCAAGTGTATCTACAAAGATTTTATTGAATGATCAAACAAATCCTTCTTCTTTACTTCTTTAATACTGATTATATAAAAGTAGAAAATAAATTTATTTAACTACATTTTTAAACTACTACAAACAGTTACAGTAAATGTGAATGTGAGTAATCACATTTTAAAGTGAATTTCTAACTTATGTAGCAAATTAGTAACTCTGTTGATTGTGTTAAAGCTGCTTTCTGTTTGCTTTGGGAGAAGTGGAAATTTTGTATTTAAATTTAAATGAAACGACGTTGTGTCTTCATGGTTGTATTTTGGCGACTGATTGTAATGTACACAAACGGTGGCCGGCCGGCAGAAACACACATAACTATAACTGCGGTCCGATATAGACCAACCATACCGCCCACCAAAAGGACTGTAAGTCCTTTTTACAAATGTAACTTAAAACTACACTGTACAATGTTTGATCATGACTTATTTCTGCATTTTTTTAACTTTCCGCCCACCCTGGGAATATCATGCTTGTCTAGGTATGGGTTTAGTGATTTTAATCTACTCTTCCTTTTCACTTCTTCTGTATTCTTTAGTAGTAGTCTACTTCTTCGGTTAATTTCTCAATATTTATCAAATGTATTTGTTTAGTGCAGTTTTAATTTCTTTTATCTTCTAATTTGTTTGTATGACTTCTTTTCTACAGTTTTTATATTTTACGCTTTGCTTTTTTTCTCTACAGGATACTCCGATTGTCTTCATATGCTTTGGTAAATAAGAACATCCTGTACATTTTTTAATATTAATCTCATTTTGAGGTGCTTGTTCCATAAATATTGTACATTTCTCTTTGAATTTTGGATTTTTGTTAAGTTCTCTTACTGTATTTTCTGTGTTTCCATTCCGAATTTTTATGTTTTCTTTTTTAAATGGTAATTTTTCTTCTATAGTGTAATTTCTTTCCGGCTCTAAATCTATATCCCTAAATGTTTTTAATGTTTTTTCTACATCTACTTGAGCATGCATTACAACGAGCGGTTCATTGCTCGATGCTGTATTTATTTCTCCAAATAGGATCCAGCCCAGGGATGTTTTTTGTGCAGTTGGAGTCCCTGATGGCCCTTTGATTAATTGATTTTCTATTATTCTTGAATAAACCTTGACACCCAGAAGCAAATCAATTACCCCAGGTTTGTAGTATGTTGGATCGGCTAAGATAAGTCCTTGTACATGTTGCCACTTATGTCCAGTGACAATCCTCTGTGGTATTTTGGTGGTCAGTTGTTTTGACATCACATATGCTGATATATGATGACTGCTATTGTTGTCCCATTTAGATGAAACCTGAACCTGCACCACTTGCTTTAATTGTGACTTCATAGATCCCATTCCAACCACAGTTGCCTTAATTGGTGTTCTCTCTAATTGTAATAATTGAGCCGCCTTTTCACTTATAAAACTCTGTTCAGACCCTTGATCAATTAATGCCCTTAATACAACAGCGTGTCCTTTTTTATTCTTCACTGTCACCATTGCGGTTGCTAAAAAGGCTGTCTCCTTCTCGCAATTACTGCTATAATTCAACGCAATCACTGTATTGTAATCTCGCTCCTCTAGTCTAAAATGCGCTGACACGTTAGGTTGTAATGACTTCTCCAGGTGACCCGACGTGTTAGCGTTGTTATTCTTATCTTCATGCAGTAGAGAATGATGGCGCCTATGACATATGCGATATGTCATGGCTATTCGATATTTAAATACTGTATGTCCGGGCAATAAACAATTATAACATAAATTATTGGTTTTCACGTAGTGACTTCTTTGTTGAGGGTCCATTTTTGAAAATTCTTTACAATGACACAGTGTATGATTCTCACGATGAAACACGTTTTTTCAGTAGTTGTAGCATGAAAAGTTCGTTCCTTAGTAGCTACTGGCCTTTCTTTTATTGATGACGATGTATAGGGATTAACAAGCTCCAATGTACGAAATTTAGATTCCAGAAACTTCTTCAGCTCCGTCCACGAAGGTAAATCTTCTGAGTTTTCTTTGTATGCATACTCTTCCCACTCCTTATGTGACTCCAAGTCCAATTTTTGTACCACCAAATATATAATTACTGGATCCCAAGAGTCCGTAGGTATAGATAAATTATGTAAATTATTAATACATTCTGAAGTGGTATCTAGTAATGGTCTTATATTGTAGGCTGACTGTGTAGATATCTTTTTCTGGCCAAACAATCGCTTTAAAATGGAGGCAAGTATCATACGCCTGTTTCCATACCTGTTTTTGAGAATATCCCATGCTTGATTGTAATTGTTATCTGTAACTTGTATGTGTTTCAACAGGTAAGTTGCTTCCCCAGCAGTACTGGTCTTCAGATAATGTAACTTTTGCACGTTACTAAGTGATGTGTTATTATGCACCAATGATGTGAACAAATCATGATATGTAGCCCAGTCCTCATATTTCCCTTGGAATACGGGGATTTCAATTCTGGGTAATTTCACTTGTGAAGTCCTTTCTTCAACGTCTACATTGCTATATGAAGTCGATTGTTGCTCTTTGCTTCGAGTCTGCATACCACGTAACATATCTTTCAGGTCCGCTTCTAAACACAAATACAGGTCTTCTATAATAAAATAATCTTCATTGACAAAGTAAGGTAAGTCGGCACGTTTATCTTGAGGTGTAGATTTGCATAGATTTTGATTAGTTTCTTTGAAAGTATTCCAATATTCTTCTATGCATTTTAATCTAGTTTCTATGTAACCTTGTGTAAATCGTTGCTTTGGACACTTCTTTAAATTGATTTGTGCTCTTTGTAATAAGCTTGCTGTGTCTTCTATTACTGTCATGTATTGTTCAACAACGGACATCTTGTTTAAAACGACATTTCGTAAACACTTGAAGTGTCTTCTAAAATCCACTTTGTATTGCTGCTCACTCCCAACAGCAATAAACAGCTTGAATATGCTTATAATGTTCAAGTTTTAAAACGTTGAAATTCTATTATTCATTATAACTCACAAAAATTAGATGTTTCTCGAACTTTTTTTGTCTTGAGACCCGAGTTACAGTGGGTCTTTTGTTCTCAACGCAGGTAAACAATGCAATTGCAATCCGGCTCGTTTTCGACCATATGTTGATTGTGTTAAAGCTGCTTTCTGTTTGCTTTGAGAGAAGTGGAAATTTTGTACTTAAATTTAAATGAAACGACGTTGTGTCTTCACGGTTGTATTTTGGCGACTGATTGTAATGTACACAAACGGTGGCCGGCCGGCAGAAACACACATAACTATAACTGCGGTCCGATATAGATCAACCAAACTCCGTAAAGTTAATATTTTTAAAGCTGATTGGTTTCCGCTGTATGGTTCTCTGACAGAATCTTAACAGAATATTTTATAGATGTTTCTGTAATCCTATCCATCAATGTTACTAAATTCTTCTCCAGATAACCTTTCAATTAATATAACTTTCAACCGAGTAAAACTCATAGTACATATATATATCATGTATATAGTACTATCTATACTCGACTCAATTCTCAACTAGACTAAAAAATAACAGCTAGATATTTAAAATGTATCAAATTACTTCACACGTAAAAGAGTAAATATGTATATAGTTATATAAAGGTACGAGAACAAGGCCTATTGGTATACACCTCCACTAATTCTCAAAAATAGAATTGTATATAAATTTATATTTTTGACCGACTCTTCGGTGAAGAAAACACCCATAATAAGCTAACAAAATAATCAGAAATGCAGCTGCTCGACCCTGCTACTGAATTCAAACATGCCTTGTGAAATGTAGCCATATCAAGTATTGCTTTTGTCATGACGTCGACAATTAAGAATAGCTCTGACTACCTACTGATATATCAGTGGTAGTCAGAGCTATTCTTCGGTCTATATGATAAATTACTAGCTGATTAACATAAATAGATATACATAATAAATTACTACCATGCAAACGTTGTTTTGGCATATAAATTAAAATCGCTATTAAAAAATAGAGGTTGGTGATAGAAGGGTGAAAATTTAAGGTTGTATGTATTTTTTAATGCCATAAAAGATAAAAATAAATAATATGGTCCAAAAAAAATGTTAGGGTTGGACAACCCTTATCATTCTGGTTTATGAAAAATAGATAGTAGCCGATTCTCAGACCTACTGAATATGCATATAAAATTTCATGAAAATAGGTCAAGCTGTTTCGGAGGAGTAAGTTAACTAACATTGTGACAAGAAAATTTTATATAGAGAAGTCTGTATATAGAAGTCTGAAAATTCACGATTTTTTAAACACACAAATGAAGCAGCGGTATTGTCAATATTCACGTCTCTCGTTAAAAGTATTCGATATCGATTTTATCGAATAAAATACTCGAAACATGTGTGAAACGTTGAAACGAACGTGTTCAAATGTCTGTACTAGAAAGTGTGAAGTCAATCGGAAATCCTGAAAATGATTGGTCTATCTTTTATATTCTACCAAAGGTGATGGCAGGATGACACGCCATGGTATCTAAAACTTAATGTAACCGCTGGTTTTCTATCCACTATCTACCTACTACTACACTTACAAGTTTTTTTTATTTATCTCTTTATTTGCATGAATTTAAGACTAGGGGCATTTAATTCGAGAGCTTTCACTTTTCTGAAATCTGTCAAATATGTAAAAAATATATATGTAATTATTGTGCTTAAAACAGAAAATATCACTTAAGGGATCTAATATGAAGATGGAGATATAATAGCATATACCTTTAAAAAACATAGTATTATATACTTGGATAAGTGTTAGGTATATATAACAATTTAAAAAACTAGTTATAAAATAAACTGACATGAAGATGGTAAGATAAGAGAAAATGTATTCTCCATAAACTAGTTATAAAGTAAACTGGCATGAAGATGGTAACATAATGGAAAATACATTTTCCCTTGCACATTCAAACAAAATGTAACAATTGTTTTAACGACATGGTATCATAAATGTTAGGTCGATATAAACATTTAAAAAAGAGCCTAGAAGAAAGGAACAAAATAGTATATATACCCATATATATGAATATACATATAAAAAAGATATCTATTTGTATATTTACTACTTACTGTAACCTTATTATAGACATAATCATATGCATCTGTGTTACCTATTATTGTACTTATTTTTGCAAATATAAGACAATTTGAGGGATACTTTTGTAGAAATCCATTTCAGCCACTAGGCATTTTTCTAAGATTTGTTTCCGTTTATAGGTTAAGATAAAGCAGCGAAATTCGGCAGATAGGGAGGCATGATAGTCCTTCAAAACGACCACGCAGTGATACTACAAGATTCATATGATAACATTGCCGAGAAGTTGTTCATGTATAAACGTGATGGTTACCATTTACCATGTGAGCCATCAACTTGTTTGAAATCCCAGTCACTTACGGCCTGGGAGGTTTAGCGGTTTAGTCCGCACTTTACTTTCGATGGTCGCGGGTTCAATCCCTCGTACGGTACAAACATATTTTGCATTCATGAGTATGATTGTTTGTATTCGTTTGGGTATTTTCTATGTACGAGTATATTATTTATATATTTACAAAAAAAATAATGTAGCAGTTGTCTAGTATCCATAGCTCTACTCAGTTTTGGATTATATGGCGCTGTGTATGAATATATCATTACTCTATACTAAAAAAATATATACTTAATATTCACTCCATATAACTTTGTTAACTATTAATATTGGTTGTACTTTACAATAGTTAATGAATTGATATTATTTTGTTTAATTCCGCTACAATTAGTATGTGTGAGATCACTAATATTGCAATATCGGTGTTGACTCGATTACGGTCGGAATTTGATCATCATTATATAACGGTCGTAACGGTAGTTAGTTTCGGAAACTAAGTACAGTTTCCGTACTGAATATTTGTGATCTCACACATGCTAATTGTATTAAACAAAATAATGTAAATCCGTAAGTAGTCAAATGGACTTCCACAAAATAACACCTAATACGATAAAATGTATTTTACAATACTAAAAAGGATTTAGAGATCCCTACAATATTGCAACCGTACGAAACAGGAGCGTCGATTACTTTATGAATGTAAATAACTATTTTAGTTTATTCGGAACTATTAATTAGAAACTACATGTTATAGTATATTCATATATCGATTTCATATAAATACGAATCGAATATGATTCCCTTAGTCCAGATCTGGAAACAGGAATGTTTATGAAATTTTAACATAAATACAGTCGGTGCGGTTGAAATCTTATTCTTAGAAATCTAGCAGAGCAGTATAACCATAATCCAGTTTACTATGACCAGATTCGTGCAATATATGTATAATATTACTATTTATTATTCTACGTGAATAAAAAAATTTGAAATTTCGCACACAGTTTGTACAGATTGCTAATATATTTTTACAATAATTCATGCATAAAAAATACATTTAATTAATAAAAAAAAACATTGTGTGTAATGGTTTTTTTACCATGTATGTAACACATATATTTATTTCCTGTGCAACTGTCAGTACCAGTTATTATGTAGACTTTCACAATAGATCCATAATATTTTGAGTCTATATATCATTACTTAATGGATTTATATTATTTTGTTTAATTCCGCTACCGTTATCGTGTGTGAGATCAAAAATATTCAGTTATCAGATCACCAATTGAGAAGGTCGTAACCCTTCCAGTAGCGGTGATCAGGCTTCCGTGCCGAATATTTGTGATCTCGTCCGCCTGCCCCTGGACTCGCCGTCCCCAAAGCTTATGGTGTATATAACAATAACTACTCTATCTTAACTGATATTGTAAATAGAAAAGATTGAGAGTACTGTAGCTCAATGATTTCCCATCCTAAATCCAAGAGGTCTCGATTTCAAATTTAATCGACTTATAAAAAGCTTTGTATAAATTTATATTTACTGACTCTTCGCCAATAGAAATCACACCAAAAGATAATCCCAGAAATAGGCTCGCCCCCAGTCACGTTGAATTCCAGTATGTTCAGCGAAATGTTATTTTTATCGTATTAGTTATAATTTTATCGATTTTATAAACCTATACAAAGAATGCAGCTTTTCATAGATTTATATTAGCCAGTACATGGTCTATATTTCGGGATATAGCTAGTGGAAGATACAGTTATAGTATACATGTTGCTCTTACCTTTTTCAAATTCCAATTTTTACAGCATACATCGGAATTGTTTTGTATAACAGGTGTTGTAGGTATTAAGTGATTATTTCCATCTTGTCTTTTTTGACTATTTTGTCTCGTTACTGCAATGAAACAATGATTTTACAAATCGATTAATGTTAATTACCTCAGTGCTCTACCGGTTTTGTGCCTCTAATTGAAAAACGTACATGGCAATAGTTGTTTATGCACGGGATTTCTAATTTTTCGGATTCGTAATTGGACGACAGAGAAAAAAAATATTACTACGAAAAACTTGACATTCATATACGGCTAAAATTTTAGCCGCTAACATGACTAAATGATTTTATGATTTAATTTGATTTGAACGATATTTTACGAGTATAATTTTTCTGTTAGTGTGGGTATTTTTTTTATGTAATCGCACTACCTAAGTAACTTACAATAAATTTTCAAATATATATTGAATGCACTAATAACTGATCTTTTTACAAGTTAAGTATGTAAGTTTAACCTAACTACGTTAATTGCGTGTAATTATGAATTTAGAATTAGAAAATTATTTATACATATCTAGTTTAAATCGCAGTTTATATAATATTATTTTGTAAAAGTCATACTGTCTCGTACTGTTAACATTTTAATGACAGTAATTAACTGTCGACGATAATCAAAACTGATGTGTTGCCGTTCTTCGAAATACGAATTCACTAGAATTGGTTAATATTGAATACAGATGCTAGAGTTGATGTAATTAAATATATATAAAACGAGGCGCTACACTATAAAGCAGAAAAAGCTGCTTTATAGAATAGTGATAAGCTAGATCTTCTTTGTGATATATTCTATAATATTCAATGGATGTTCCAATACGAAATAGGGGTTTTACAAGAAGAGTAGATATATTAAAGTTTCATAAGGGTCGGCAACGCGCACGTGACACCCCTGGTGTTTTGGGCGTCCATAGGTTATGGTATATATATATGGTAACTATTTAGCATCAGATGGGCCGTATGCTAGGTTGCCACCATCGTAGTATAAAAATTGAATCGTCCATTTCGTACTGAAAAGGTAACAAACATAGATTTGATTTCGCATTTGTAATCTTTATATATAAAAATTATGTGTCACGTTATTTGTCTGCGATGGACTCATAAACTACTGAACCGATTGCAAATTTGATTTGCACATTGTGTGCAATTTGATCCAACTTGAAAGATAGGATAGCTTACATCTCAATTTATAGTCGTAATATTATTTTATTGTAAATTATTTTTATATATAAAGAAACTGTTAGCCACAGCAACGCGTGGTGCTAGTATTATTGTAGATTTGTACTAATTACATTGAAAACTCGACTAGTGAATTCATCACTACAACAAATTAATATAATACAAAAATAGAATTTGATTATTAGTTCGTAAGGGACCAAAAAATAATAAATAATAAAAGTAAAGAAATAAATAACTCTGGATAGTGCCACCTAGTCCTACGGCCGCTCCCTAACAGCACTTGTATTAAGGGTACTAGACAACTGGTATAAATACACAGATTGTTTTTTGTAATACATACATAATAAACATAGAAAACACCTAGAGCGATATAAACAATCATACTCATGAATACAAATGTTCAATACATTGCGAGGAATCGAACCTGCGATAATCGGAAGTAAAACGGTGTGCTAAAACGCTAGACCATCGAGGCAGTCATACTTACCCAAAACCTTACAAAGCATCAATATCCTCCTTTGTGTAATATTTATGTGTATTTAGGTCCTTAAAAATTATTGTTAGCTGTATGTAGTTTAAAATTAATCTAACAGACACTAATTGAATTATTTGCTAATCAAATCCTATTATAGCGAGCTTAACTCCCACATGGACAGTACAGAAATGTTAACTTTTTGTATATTCTGATACCTTTACTTTACTTCCGATGGTAGCGGGTTCGATTCCTCGCATGATGCAAACATTTATGAGTGATTATTTTTATAGGTGTTTTCTATGTATATTATACAACAGTATCTATTTACAAAGTAAAATAGTAAAGTATTTATATTAGTACCCCTAATAAGGTCTTCTTAGCTTGGGACTGGATAGCGTTGTGGAAACTTTTCGGATGCTGGGTTATTATGATTATGAATATCATCTGTTTGACAATTCTGTTTGTTTGCTTACGACTAGACGTTAGGACATATAATTATATATTTTTTTAAATCCTGTCACTGCGTTCTTCTTCAATAAAATTTATAAAAAGCATCTGTCTTCTTTTATTAATCATTACTTAATTAATAATGATTCTTTTTGATACCCGAAAAAAGAGAGGTGTTGTAAGTTCGTTATAATACATAGACACCCTAATATCGCTGATGAAAAGCGACCTAGATTCTACATGGACTTCGGTGTTAACCAAACGCAATGCTCCAACGGTGATGCAGCGGAACGTGAACATGAACGTGGAAGCTGAACGTGCACCAGCGCCGGCAACGTGACTTCGCGGTTGCGCAAATGTGCAACCGAACCGGGCTTCCGCTCGCCACTTCTATTCTTGCCTCGATAGTGTCACCTCTCTTTTTTAATTATAATTAGTAATAAGTAATTTTAATATACTGTAATTTTAAAATAAATTGATATTTAAATAATTTTAATTTCGGTATTTTTTTGACTCCTACGGCTGCGACTCATGTAATTAGTTTAACAACTATCTGTGTATCTGTATGTATATCTATGTCATTATCTGCGTTACTTATAATTATCATATAAATTATAGTCTAAAAGGCATGACATCTTAGTCCTTTAGAATGGCAACGCATGTATACTATGTCATCGTCTTTGCCATGTGATCATCCAATCATCGAATCCAATGCTGATTATCCAATCTCTTCGCTCAATCCGTAAGAGACAGTTACCACTTACCATGAGGTGGTACCATCTTCAGCTTGTTAGCCAATAACATATGAAATCTTTTATATGTATAATATTATATAATGAAAATATATTACAATTAATAAAATATACTTTTTAATTATTTAAACTATATACTCACAATTTTTTTGCCAATTAAAGTTGTGTTCTATTTCATGCCTCATTCCTCTCCATAGTTTGGTGACTATAAGGGAATATGCAAAGGACATAATGAAAAAAGGTATCAGCAGTAGTGCAGCATCCAGACCGATGTTGAAAGCTCTTTCCAGTTCTAAGCTCGTCCATACTTCTCGACACTTGAACGCTGTTAAAAGGAAAAAAAATAGGATACAATTAATATAAAAACTTAATTTACAAATAAAATAACATTTATTCGGTAAACATTCTAAAGTGTTATATTTTTTTTTATTATTACTCTTTATTACACTTTAAAAAAAACAATATACATAGTATGTAGGTATAAAAGGCAGTCTTATCGCTTAACCGATATCATCCTTTGGGTAGAGGGGAAAAGACAGGTGATGGATGGCGCATGATGGAATTAATAAACATAAATAATAATTATTTAAAGTGAAATTAAATTTTATTATTAAATGTCATTAATCATTATAATTAAATTTCATTCATTATATTCATTTTCTCATATTATTCTACGGTGTTTCCTTTGAGCATTGAACTAAAACCAACCTATTTGAGGTTGGTTAGACCGTTAGTTAATTTATCTTCTACAAACTTATAGTTTACTTGCTGGCTTCAGATTTCTATAATCTATCGGTCACCTATTGGCTGATTATTCCGGTTGAGATACGCATTGGAGTTCTAAAATATATAACTGGCCGCTAACTAAGCGATTCAATGCTTGACATGAAATTGAAGTAAGTATAGACAAAATGTATAATAACAGATATATAAATCTGATAAATATTATGAACGTGATTGTTTGTGAGTATGAATGGGTGTTTGTTTGTCTTTAACGCAAAAACTACTAAACGGATATTGATAAAACTTTACAGTAATGTAGCTTATACATCTGAATAACATCTAGACTATAAATTTCATGTGGGTGAAATCGCGTGCATAACTTAAAGATAGATATATAGATTTTGATTAAAAAATATATTACTGATTAGTCAGTACAATCAAGTCATGGTTATAATTATATAATAAAAATATTTACCATTCCCTCTCATTGGTTGTAAAGTCGAAACTATCAATATGGGTGAGTTGACCGTCACTGACAAGATCCATACAGTTGCGATCATCTTGTATGCATGGCACTGTGTCTGCCATTTCCTTGACTTGAGCGGACGGCAGATAGCGAAGTACCTTTCCAGGGATATGGCCACCAAAGTCCATACATCGACTGATACGGATACGGCTAAAACATAAAAAAAAGAATTATATTCAATTACTAGATGACCTGGCAAATGTTGTGCCATATAAAGTATTTATTTATATAACTTTAATGCATATAATAATAGGCACATATGGCAGATTTAACATCTTACATCAATTGTTTCTAGATAGTTCCACCATTATCTCCTAAGGGTAAAAAAAAGTCAACGGTTATCGAGGTTGCACCAAATACACACCGAAAATATCATACATACATATCGCTGAAACCTTCATTATATTCATAGCAATTCGATAGCAAAGTGTGTGCGATACGAGATTTTTCTATACATTAGTTGTATTGTATTACTGAAAAAAATCAATCCAATATAATAAATGTCCGTTGAATTTACGGCTTCGTATTTTTGGTATTCTGCTAATGAGTCGAGTAACATGACAAATTGAATTTCTAAAGTGTCTTTGTTTGGTATACCCGTATGATTCATCGAGTTGACTTGAAATTGGTAGATGAGCAGTTTTATTTTATAAATGAGGCTGATTTGTATATACAATGTACCTAGTATTACCACACAAATGTTCTCTATAATGTCACTGTGATAAAGTACTAAATATATCATGGATCCTTTTGTTATACCCAATGCTGCCGCCAATGAGGTCGCTTTGTAAACTATGTTTTGGTTCGAGGATGAGATATCAAATCAAATCAAAAATAAAAAATGTATATAATCATGTAGGGTATTTTGGCAGTTTTAGCAGTATTAGCAGTATTTTGGCAGTTTTTCGTAATAATATTTTTTGCCTACCATCCAGTTCAGTATACAGATTCAATTGAGAAGAACTGGCAATAATCTCAACTGAATTATTTTAAAAGCCAGTTTGTTTATATTATACACTTATATAGGTGTCTACTTCGAACATTAAATGAAATTCTCGAGCATGAACAATTATTGTCATGCATGACAGATAAATTATAGGGTACGGTATCGGTACGCTACATCTTATATTAGAATAAGCAGAACATACCATAGGCATGTCACATGATGATGAGATATCCGTGGTCCTGTTTATATGTTTAACGATGATTTACACTCATCATCAGAGAGTCAAACTTGTTTGACATTTCAATGACACAAAACATTTTTAGTGAGCCTTTAAATTAACACTTTCTTAGCGAGTTAAAAAATAAGTGCTAAAATCCAAATAGTATAGGTTGACATTTATTTTATTAGATAATACGAGAATCTTTATGTGTGATCAAAATATTGCGAACGATAGTAACCCATTAAACACATTTATATGTCATTCAGCAAGGCAACGATAATGACTCTGACATAAAGAGTATACAACAGTGTACTTGATATACTCTTGTTAATATATATTCACAAGGATATGTTACTAAAATACTAATGTAACTAAACTACATATTAAAGTCATTATAACAAACATTAACATGGACCGTAGAGCATGGGCAACTCTAAACTCTACTCTCTAAGACGATGAATACTATACATACAATCTTAATCTAAACTAATATTATAAAGAGGAAAGGTTTATTTGTGTGTGTTGAATAGGCTCCGAAACTACTGGACTGATTCGAAAAATTCTTTCACCATTAGGAAGCTACCCTATCTCTAGGTGACATAGCCTATATTATTTTTCCAAAAAAATAGGGATCCATACTCATACTCCAATAATGTAACCCAAGGTGTAAAATAATTAGATAAAAATACCTAAAACCGCATGCGCTGCGAAAACTATTGATGATCGAACAAAATGATGTACTATGATTTTGCAGAACACATCATTATCTACAAAAAGTGTCCCGACGGCATGTGTCTAACTATTAGCTATGTCACAAGAAGTGTAAAGAACACTAATTTATAAATTTAATTGAAATGCCGCCGCTAATAAAGCCTCTTTATTTGTATCTTGGTTTAATTCTTAACAAAATAAATTATTTCATAGAATCAAGAGGCAATTTGATAGTGAAGATCTGACGTGTATATTTTTACCCCATGACATATATCATGAACCAATAATATTTAATTGAAAAAAATATATATTTAAAAACAAATTTAATACATAGTAGTCTAGTAGGCATAGCAATGCATGTGTTAGGTACATCCCGCTTTTCCATATTCAGTACCATATATATATATATATATATATATGTATATGTTTTTAAGAAGAGAATTTGTAAAATATTTATATCGAAATTAAAGTCAATGTCTTTCAGGCAAGTTATATATTTCTTATTTTCTACAATAACACCAGTGTTGTAACAAAAGTATAAAAATGAACGTAACTTACAGAGTAATAAGGTATATTACAGAGCAATAAGCCATTTATTGCTCAAATAAGCTTTTCCAAACAATGAAGAAGAATTTTTAGTTCGCTATATACGTACGCTGTTTAAGTAATAATGCTGAAATGTTGTAAATTTAGATCGAAGTAAACGAATTCGCCTACTTGGGAACCTCTGTCTCAGCTATTTTAGTCGCTTAGTAGTTTGTAGTTAGTTTTGGGTTAAAGGTTGAGATATGGCAGCGTACAGAGGCATGATTTTTTAGTCTTCCAGAATATCAAGGCATGAGACCACGACTGTCATATGATAACGAGATGTTCTAATAATAATAATCTCAGTACAATTCAAACAGCACCATCTAGTCCCAAGTTAAGCTAGCTAAGGCTTGTGTTACGGATACTAGATAACTGATACAAGTACATAGATATTTTTTTTTCGTAAATACATACATATTATACATAGTAGTTGTTCGTGGTGGGTATAGTCATATCTTATATGAAATTCTAATGTCAAAATCTTAGTTATCATATATGTTAGTTTATATGTACATTCTGTCTGAGAATTGGCTACTATCTATTTTTCAAACCCATAATTGATAAGGGTTGCCACCAACATTTTTTATTTTTTTTATAATGTGGAAAAAATACATGCAAGCCTAAATTTTCATCCTTCTATCACTCCTATATTTTAATAGCGATATTAGTACTTAAATTTATATACAACATTTGCCGAGACATGCCATATAAATTTAAGTACTACTCCTACCATCAAATAAGCTGTTCTTGTCTGCTATTACAGTTACATATAAATTAAACAACTTTTGGAAATTAGTGCTAATGTGAATTTTACTACCAGTGTAATAATAAAGTTGATTCATGAGTTAATCTCATTAGTCTCATTACGCAAGTACGCGTAAATATGTTTACTTAGCTAACTAATGCGAGTAAATAATGGAATGTGATTAAATTAGACGGTAGAGTTTTTTATCACCACGCATTTCCATGGGTTTAATATGAATCTAAGTTTTTTCTGTGATAAATAATAATAAATCCCACCATACCACTTGTTTCCTGATTAGCATTGATCGTTACCGTCATAGGCGTATTTCATAAAAAAGCATTGTGTCTTAAACAAACGAACTTCTTAGTAATTATTATACACAATTATATAACATTTTTTTTTGCACGGCATGGCTTTTGCATGCATTACAAATATTTGAATTTCTCGGCTTGTTCTATACTATTCTATACACGCATGTATTACACATATAAACCTTTCTCTTGAATCACTCTCTATTGCTGATAACTGCAGTAAAATCCGTTGCGTAATTTAAAAATTTAATCAATTTAAAAATTTAATCAATTATTAAATTTAAATTAATCAAAAATATTTAATGAAGTTAATAAAATTTCGTACAGCAATTATCTTTGCGCTTTGTTAATAGACAGTAATATTCCAATTATTGCTCTTTGAGGAAATCCTTACTAATATTATAAATGCGAAAGTAACTATGTCTGTCTGTCTGTTTGTCTCGCTTTCACGCCAAAACTACTGAACCGATTTAAATGAAATTTGGTACACAGATAGTCCTGATAGACCCTGAGAAAGGACATTGGTTACCTTTTAATGCGAAAAAAGGGTTGTAAGGGGTTGAAATTGGAGATGAAAGATTGTATGGAAGAATCGTTATTTTTGAAGCTAGAAGCTTGAAACTTATTTTTGAGGCTGCTAATTAAATATAAATAAATATGACATACAAAGTTTTTAAAAATTTTACCCTTAAGGGGGTTAAATACATTAGGGGATATTTTTTATGTAAATTCGTCATTGTTGAAGTTAGAAGCTTGAAACTTATTTTTGAAGCTGTCGATTAAATATAAATAAACATGACATTCTAAGTTTGTAAAAAATTTACCCTTAGGGGGTAAAATAAAATAGGGGATGAAAGTTTTTATGTAAATTCGTTATTTTTGAAGCTAGAAACTGATTTTTGAGGCTGTTGATTAAATATAAGTAAATAGGTCATCTAAGATTGTAAAAAAATTACCCTTAAGGGGGTAAAATAAAATAGGGGATGAATTTTTTTATATAAATTCGTCATTTTTAAAGCTAGAAGCTTGAAACTTATTTTTGAGGCTGTTGATTAAATATAAATAAATAGGCCATTAATTTTTTTTAAAAATGTTACCCTTAAGAGGGTAAAATAAAATAGGGGATGAAAGTTTATATGTAAATTCGTCATTTTTGAAATTAAAAGCTTGAAACTTATTTTTGAGGCTGTCGATTAAATATAAATAAATGGGCCATCTAAGATTGTAAAAAAATTACCCTTAAGGGGGGGGGTATAATAAAATAGGAGATGAAAGTTTATATGTAAATTCGTTATTTTTGAAATTAGAAGCTTGAAACTTATTTTTGAGGCTGTTGATTAAATATAAATAAATGGGCCATCTAAGATTGTAAAAAAAAATACCCTTAAGGGGGTAAAATAAAATAGGGGATGAAATTTTTTATGAAAATTCGTCATTTTTAAAGCTAGAAGCTTGAAACTTATTTTTGAAGCTGTTGATTAAATATAAATAAATAGGCCATCAAAGTTTGTAAAAATATTACCCTTAAGAAGGTAAAATAAAATAGGGGATGAAAGTTTATATGTAAATTCGTCATTTTTGAAATTAGAAGCTTGAAACTTATTTTTGAGGCTGTTGATTAAATATAAATAAATGGGCCATCAAAGTTTGTAAAAAAGCTACCCTTAAGGTGGTAAAATAAAATAGGGGATGAAAGTATTTAGGTAAAATCGTCATTTTTGAAGCCAGATCTATGAAACTTTTTCCATTGGCTTTTTTGGGTTAGTTTATAAAATACCCCACTAATATTATAACTGTGAAAGTAACTTTATCTGTCTGTCTGTCAGTCTCACTAACACACCAAAACTACTGAACTGATTTAAATTAAATTTGCTACACAGTTAGTCTAGACCCTGAGAAAGGACATAGGCTACTTTTGAATGCCATAAAAGGGTTGTAAGGGTTGAAAGGGTACGTAAGAATCGTAATTTTTAAAGCTATAAGCTTGAAACTTATATTTTAGTTTGGCAATTAAATATTAATAAATATGACATTCAAATTTTGTAATAATTTTACCCTCAAAATAAAATAGGGGATCAAAGTTTTAATGTAAACTCATGATTTTTTAAGCTAGAATGATGAAACTTTTTCATTGGCTTTTTTGGGTATATTTATTAAATACCTCACTATTCACATACACGCCTATACTACTGAACCGATTTTAATGAAATTTGAAACTCATAATCTAGACTGAGAATGGATATAGCGTACTTTTTAATTTGGAAAATGGTTGTAAGGGGATTGAAAGGGTAGGTGCAAGATTGTATGGATATATCGCCATTTTCAGTCTGAAACTGATTTTAGGCTGTTGATTAAATATAAATAAAGAAAAATGGGTTGTAAGGAATTTAAAGGAGAGTTAAATGTTTATATGGAAATATTGCCATTTTTAAAGCTAGAAGCTTGAAGTTTAATTTTTAGCCTATTTATTATATATATATATATATATATATATATATATATTAAGAAAAACAGTTATAAGGGGTAGAAAGAGTTATGAAAGATTGTATGGAAGTGTCGTCATTTTTGAAGCTAAAACGATGAAACTTTTTCATTTGGCTTTTATTGGGTTAGGTCATTAAATATTTTTTTCATTATTTGGTCAACATACAGCTAGTATATTATATTTCACGTACCTCCTTGAATATAAGCCTGAAAACTAATTTCGGGCCGTTGAAATACTTCTTATACAGACGCACAAAACAAAGGATGTTTGGCCTTGCCGCTGTCATTACGGCGTCTTAACGAAATGCTCAATAGGATGCTGTAAGTGGATTTATTCTATTGTAATTATAATGGATTTTGCAAGATGACAACCAGATTTGTTGTTGTTAATAATTCTATTAATTTAAATGAGCATTTCTTGTATAACATTCCGGAAATAGCTTTCCTTGCAAATATAAATGAATTTCATAATGAGATTTTGAAAATTTCATCTGTATCTTTGTCTGGTTTAATTCTGTCGATAGGACCTTGCTTATAAATCTTTAGTTTAATAATAATTTAATTTATTACATAATAATAAAAATACACAGAACGATTCACACAGCGCCATATAATCGATCATCTTAAGGTTTAGCACACCGACTTAATTCCGATGATCACGGATTCGTTTCCTCGCTCAAACAAACATTTGTTTTCATTTATGTATTATATATATGTATTACCCATCGTCTAGTCCCATAATACGAGTTCTGCTTTCCTAAGGACTAGATTACGATGTGTGAATTGTCCTGAAATATTTTTATTGATTTAATAAAAAATCAATGAAATTAAATTACTTTAACTCCATAAGATTAGCAAACAGTTAAACTAACTTACCCCGTTAATTATTACAAAGGGCACGATTTATTTACAATACTCTGATGTACGGGACCATTGTTCGAAATATCTACACCTACCACATCCTCATTTATATTCAGCTAAAAGCGGGATATTGGGAATATTAAGTAGAATTCAAATATCTCACACATCGGTAGACAACAAGGGTGTATTAATTTGATTATGTTCAATAGTTATATAATACGTACTTTACAGAATATAGAGACTCTCTGATACATAATGTAGAGTATATAGAGAGACGAACGTGCATGGCAATATTAGTTAATGCACGGGATTTTCATTTAATGTTAGACATATACCTATATAAATATACATAAATTACCTATATAATATACATTGTAAATAAACTGGCTTTTAAAAATAAATAAATAAAATATTCAATTGAGTTTTTTACCAGTTCTTCTCAATTCAATCTATATACTGAACTGGACGGTAGGAAAAAAAATATAATATAAAAAATTTGACGTTCAGGGGCTAAAATGTCCGACATAAATAAAATTATTTTTAAATTTGAATTTGAATTTATTAAGTTAAAGTTACACAATAGTTAAATCAAAGTTAAGTACTAAAATAGATAGATAGATAATTCATTTATTGCGAACATAATACAACAAATTACGAAGAATACACAAAATAAAAAATAGCACACAAAGTTGGTAATAGGAGCTGCCTCAGTTGTTGCTGATATAAGTACAACCTCAATGAGGTGCAGTATTCAGGCAGCCCCCATTACTCATTAAAAATCTAACATGAGGGTTTATGTAATTAACAGTCACCATATACCATACAAACATATAAATATGTGATATTTAAGACAACAAACAATTATTAAATAAGACCTGGGATATATACACAGATATATAAACTAATAATAAATAACAATTAATAAAAACTCAGGATAATACACACACTGTCATTTAGTCCTAAAATCAAAGCTTGTACTAAAGATACAAAACAACAAGTAGAAATATACATAAAAAACACCCAAACCGATGCATTATACAAGGAATCGAACCTGCAACTATACGTCAGGAGAACATTTTGCTAGTAGCTATATATAGTAAACAAGCCGACAGCTTATCTCTGTGCGTTAGCTGTGTGTTAAAACTGACGACTATATATGTATATGAAACTACTGTTCTATATATATCATACTGTATCACAGGTGACGTGATATCCGTGATACTCCACGGATATGACGTTATAATATACCGCTTGTGGTACTCCACGTGCGTTACTATTACGAAACATGCCTCTGTACCCAGGTGCTATATCTCAACTGAACTATTAAACCAAATGACAGGTTATAAGTCCACCAAGGATCAGTACATTGTCGAGTTGGTCCGCATAGACCAGGAGTAACCTGAAATTCAGGGTGACGCAGCTAGAGTCGAGTCACAACCCGAGTTTTAAGGCGTTTGTGGCCCGGATCCCTACCAACATGCTGTCCACCTTCATGAAGGAGGACTGGCCGAAGGAGTTGTGTAGCAGCGCTACCGTTGCAGGTTGCTTGCATCATTGCCGTGACCACACAGGCAATTTATATTTATATCTTATATTAATTTCAATATCATTCATTCATATAAGGTATTTATAATATAGGTCATTAGTGGCTTGAATTAAATAAATAAAAAATAGGAAATATATATATTTCCTATTTATTATTCATTTATATGTATATGTGTACAAGAATATAACGATTGGCAATTTTTTTTTTATTTCCTTCTATCTTTCATCAATTAATCATCTCCTGTGTATTGCTGTTACGAAACCTGCTCTGTACCCTGTAATTTATCTGCCATATCTCAAGTGAACCTTTAAAACAAAACACAGCATATAAAGCAAACGGCTTAACAGACAGAAAATAGTCTACCCATGCTATATTCAAACACTTTACTACTTTATTACAGGAACATTACTGAGAACAAATTAGCAAATAATAAATTACTTTATTTATAATATTTTATTGCACTAACATTCTAAGAACATGAAGAAAATTATAACACTGAAAATAATACTAAGTAGAAAAGTAAATTCGGTCTTATAGTTAAAGCAATTTCTTCCGTCTTCCTTCCTTAGGAAAGAGAATAAATGTAAAGTATAAGTATTTATTATTTACTACTACTACTACTAGTATTGTATTAATTTACAACCAATAAGATTATTATCTATTTATTCGGTAGTTATACAGGGAATAATTAAAAATCTAAAAGAAAACACTCCTGCTTACATACTGGTTTATAATATTTAAGTAAATAAGGAAAATATTTACCTTGCAAGAAAGGTATCAGCTTGCACATAAATGCTCCAAACAAGAACCTCCTGTAGATTTGACCGACCAACGTGAACGGAAGACAGAATACTCCAAGTAGAAAATCAGATATTGCCTGAAAGAAAACATTACAGTAAGTACTGAAAATGATTATAAAATTTAAAAAATATTGTAACGTTTGTTAAAATATAATTAATAAATTGTAGCTAAGAACAATCTCGATAACGTTAACTTTCATACAAAATCAACCGTATCATAATTGGTCCATCCGTTTAAGGATAGATTGACGGCCTCAGTGGTCTAGTCGTTTACCCCACTGCCTTACTTCCGATGATTGCGGGTTCGATTCCACCAACATTTGTATTTATGAGTATAATTGTTTGTATTATCTGGGTGTTTTCTATACATGTTATGTATGTATTTTAAAAAAATCTATGATTTTGTATCAGTTGTCTAGTACCCATAACACAAGTTCTACTTAGCTTGGGACTAGATGGCTCTGTGTGAGTTGTTAAAAAAAGGTATGTCAAACATATAACGCCCTTCTTTTTGCGTTGGAAATAAAAAAGTAATAGCGTAGCATTATATATTAGTCCTACAGAATATAGGACATATATTCTGTAGGACTAATATATAGATACACATAAGTACTAACGCAAGACAATCATATGATTAAGTAATGCTTTTCATTATATAGTTGACTGTTTCCACTTATCATCAGGTAAAACGACAGCAATTTTTTTCTAAAAAAATTAACTTAGCAATTAAAAACATCACAAAAAAAACAAAAAGTTTGTATATAAATAAATGATTGTTTATAAACAATATTATAAACGTTAAAGTTTGTGAGTATGGATAGATGCACGAACTACTAAACGGACTTTGATGAAACTTTACAGCATTAATATAACACATAGATAATAAATTTCATGGGGGTGAAATCGCGGGCACAATTACTTGTAAATTATATTTAATTAAGTTTGATTCATTGAGTGTTATTATAAATAAAAAAAATATATTATACCTATACTAAATCCTATATCAAAATCATATATAATAAAAAACTGAAGCCATTTCTATTTTTTATGAGAGTATAGAAAACAATATTTTCAAATTTTCAAGTTTTCAAATTACAATATTGTTATTTAAAAATTGAATATATTTTCTGTCTTCGCCTTTCTTATTTATTGTATAATTGCATGTCTGCAATATCAAAATTAAATATGTAAATATATGAAGATATTAAAAAAGAAAACAATAAAATATATTCTTGATTACTTGTGACATTAAAATATCTAATGATATCTGTTCGTGTCAAGATCCTTACTAATATTATGAATGCGAAGGTAACTCTGTCTATCTGTCTCGCTTTCACGCCAAAACTATTGAACCGATTTAAATGAAATTTGGTACACATATAGTCTAAACCCTTTTCTTTGGACTTTTTGTTTCGATTATTAGATATTTTTTCTTTATTTTGTCAAGGTATTCGCGGACGAAGTCGTGAGTACAACTAGTTAATAATTAAATAGTAATCACTTTGTTCTACTTATTATACAGAGCACAGATTAGATAATGTTACATTTGCTCTGTATGAGCTTTGTGGCCCAGTGTTATCCTGACTGACAATGAAGAGTCGTAACTTTGAATCTGACACGTTATATATGGGGCAGACAAGCAAATACAGAGACGGTCTGTTACGCACTGATTTATTAACGACTTAGTTAGATGGACGCAGCCATCTCTATATCTACTTATATAAAATGAAACTGTGCATTATAATATGCGTTAAATTTCAGTACACAAATTTTAATTAAAATTTAATTACTGTAAAATTTAATTACTGTAAATTTCATCAAAATCTGTTCAATATTGCAATTTTCATGCAATATTCGTTATCATATTAACATGGATAAATAAATACTTATTCTAAATGTACTTACATTATAACATTTAATATAAAGTCGGTGTTTTCGAAGGAATAATACATATATTTGATACTTTTTATAGGAATTAATTAAGTTCCGAGCCTTAATTTATAGTCCATCGTGACCTAGGTTTACTACCCTGAATTATACAAGAGCTCATAAATTCAAATCTGACGAAACAAGTTTTTTTTTTTAATATATTGCGAGGAGGTATTAACAGACACTTATGTATATCTAAAGACGGCATAGCCCCACTAGATGGTCTGACCAAATTCGCTCATCGTTGGACACCATGTTCCATGTTCAATTGAGTTCTTCTCAATTGGATCTATATTCTGAACTGGAGGGTAGGGAAAAAGTTAAAAATATAATGTAAAACATTTGACGTTCATAAGCGGCTAAATGTCCTATATGAATAAATGATTTTTGAATTTGAATTTGCTCTCCATTATGCAAAAGACCGACACCATCTGTGTAAGGGTTGTAATCAGAAAGAAAGTAATTCTGCGGGGCTGTCACGACCTTCAGGTATGAGAAAAACGACTTGAGGAGGAGAATGTACACAAATTGTTTGATGGAGGAATATTGCTGTGTTTGTAATATAAAAAATAAAAAAAATAGAATCGTTTTGTACACTAGATATATGTATTGGTGCCGCGAAATATTCGAGAAGTGTGTATAAATTCATAATTAGAAACAAAACAATATCGATATTCTATGCGTGACGTTCTATTTTCAAATTGTATAATTTTATTTTTAATTTTTTATACGATATAAGTGCGTTAGGATGGTTATAATACATAAGGCGAAACGCATGTATATCGTAAGTTGTTTTTCAATACACCTAATTTTTAATAAACTCAACCATAAAACTGTGATTTAAATAGTTGCTTTGCCGCTATTTTACTTTTTAAATCAGCGCGATGCCCGCTGACTGGCGCCGTGCGGCGGTCAGTTCGAATTTTGAATAAATGTCACTATTTGCTTTTATAACGCAAGCGTATTTTATGAGATGCTTTATATATCGAAACTGGTGAAATTAGATGCACTTTCCGAGCAAGTTAGTTGGAAAATACATAAAAAATCTATTTCCGATCGTAAACATACTATATCTATAAAAATCTATAAGCAGATACTTACTAAATTTAGCAAATAAACATTTGTCACTGTTCGCATCCTTCTGTTGCTGGTAAGGGTGGCAATGACCATACAGTTGCCAGATATGGAGAGCATGAATATTAAAAAATACGGTGGCAATATAAACCGCCACTCGTATGCATTGGTGACTGTGGCATTTCGTACCACAACCGCTGCCGAGGTCGTGGTCACTTCACGGATACGCAACGATGAAATGTTCAGTATGCTTGTTAGGTTTGATTCATCCATATTTATGGAGATCTGTAACAATTAAAAATATGTATTTATTTATTAACCCTTTATTGCAATAGAAGTGAATTTTAAAGAACTTATATCTATACATCTATACATATAAATAAAATTAGAGTATCTGTTTGTAATATTGAAATAACCGTTTTTTACTACATGCGTATGAATATAAATATGGTACATATACCAAAATAACAGTTTTTACAATTTTTGTCTGTCTGCCTGTCGGTCTGTTTGTTCCGGCTAATCTCTGAAATGGCAGGACCGATTTTGACGGGACTCTTTTTGGCGGGTATCTGATGAATAAGGAGTAACTTAGGCTACTTTTATTTTAGAAAAATAAAGTTAAATTCCACGCGAACGAAGTCGCGGGAACAACTAGTTAGAGTAATAAGTTACAAAGGTTTTATTATATAAGCTATCTCCTCTAGAATAAGCTAGATTGAAATGAATAAATATTATTGTACGTTTGAAAGCAGTATAAGTACAAGAAGAATAATCAGGAAACTTACTTGTAGGTCTTTTAAATAGATATCATAATCTAATTAAAAAATAGTTGAAACAAAGCTTTTTCTTTTTGAACAATTGGATAATTTACTAAGAAATAGATTAAAACAAATCATTTGAATGACTCTTTATACGTTTATATTTTAACCCCAAAGATTAAAACTTATATTTTTGATTAACTCTTCCGTGGCACCGACAAAAATGTAATTTAATTTACCATGTAGCTGTAGATTACAGAGAGAACGATATGCTATCATGTCAAGGGTTGCTTTCACCGCGAAGTTAATACCTCTTTCTACCCCATCTGGGCCATTCATGCGATATTAATAGTTTTGAACATTTGTTATTATTTATTAGCCTGGGTGGTTTAGTGGTTTAGCATATCGCTTTACCATCCGATGGTCGCGGGTTCAATTCCTTGCACGGTACAAACATTTATATTCATGAGTATAATCGTTTGTATATGTATTTATTTAAAAAAATATATTATATCAGTTGTCTAGTATCCATAACACAAGCTCTGCTTAGCTTGGGACTAGACGGCGCTGTGTGAACTGTCCTGAGATATTATTATTATTATTATAGATTAAATAAACAATTGGGTAAAACATATTAAAATAGTTGCTACGCAATAAACTATTGTAAGAAAGGTTACCACACTATTTTATTAGTCTACACGGGTCGAATTTATACGTAACTGCACTGAACTAATAACTTTGGCGGCTCAGACGAGATGTTCAAATATGAGCCTGACTAGCATGATATTGTATCCTGTCGGTTCGATCGAATCATAACAGGTATCCAGTTCTCTCAATATTCTAGCGTCTGGTCACCGACATCAAATAACGAGGACAGGCTACGTATCACAGTGAAACAAATAATTAAATAAAGATATTGTTTCAAACTATTATTTACAGTTTTATAATCTGGAAGAATTGCATTATCGATAAAACCGCCTTTTGCACCAAGTTTTATTTTTAATGTTTCATTTTTTTTCACTGTTATTTACAGTTTTGCAATTGTGTAATCTGGAAGAGATTGTCTCTTATTTATCGAAAAGACCGCCTTTTATACTTAGTTTTATTTTTTATGTTTTAATTTTGTTCATGTCCTTTTATGTTGATGCAATAAAGTTTAATAAATAAAGTGTATAAACGGTTTTATTTCTGAGCACCCGACGCTGTCACACACATTATGACCACCGGTCGACTGGAGATGGCTATGGATGTAAACAATTTTAAGCGTATGTTTTATCGATTTAAGTGCTATTTTGCGGAAGTTCTTTTCATAACTTAATGGATTTATATTATACTAGCTAAAACCCACGACTTCGTCCGCGTAAAATGTGACCTTGACCAAATAATGAAAAAGTGAAATAATCTACACCAATAAAAACCAATTAAAAAAGTTTCATCGTTATAGCTTCAAAAATGACGAAATTCCATACAACTCAATCAAGAGCCTAAAAAATAAATTTCAGGCTTCTAACTATAAAAATTATGACACTTTCATACAACCTTTCATCTCCTCTTACAACCCCTTTTTCACGTTAAAAAGGATGTTCGCCCATTTCCTTTCTCAGGGCCTAGATTGTCTGTGTAAATCGGTTCAGTAGTTTTGACGTAAAAGCAAGACAGACTGAGTTACTTTCGCATTAGTAAGGAAGTAAGGATTATTTAATTCCTCTACCATTAGCATGTCTTAAAGATATGTCCGTGGATGGAGCACAGACATAATATTATTAATATATAAGATATATTACAATAATTGTATCATTTCGAGACTAAGACATCAGGTAGACAGATTTATCTGCTCGTAATAATTGTTTACATCGACATCTCCAGTCGAGTAATACCACAGATAATATTATATTACATACTAATACGTTTGTAATAGCTTCAAAATATCGGGAGCTTATAAATAATATTATTATCGTAAATACTGGACATTATATTTATATATTCTAAGTGTGAAGAAATATTTATATATTTATATTTATATCTATAAGGCTAATATAATAAAGGTTACCTATTTTGATTCTATTTCCGTTATATTTTCGGTCGATTGTAATTGCAATAATTGAAAATTCAAATATAGTGTCCTAAAAATAGGACAGGAAAGGAATGGGTTACCAGTTCCCGGTACCTAATATACAGGTTCCTACTTAGTTTTAGAACTAACATCCAAATATAAGAGCTTCTCAATTGGAGGACACTGCTGGTTGGTTTAGTGTATTGATTTGTCTTTTTCTTTGTAGTCTTAGACTTGACACTGATTTTATATTATCTATTTTATTTCTTCCTTAAGCCGAATATTATAAGAGTCGAACTCAGCATCACTCAAGCCCAAAAAGAAATATTGACAACTCGATAAACTTTTATACAAGACATGTACCCCTTTTTACAAAAATTCCGCGGACGGAGGAGTATATCGTACACACTTATATTTTATATAGAAAAGGCGTGCAGAATGTAATATTGTTTTTAGATTATGCATAAAAAATACATTAAAAAAGTACAAAAAAACTTTTTACTGTGTCACTAAGATACGAGTACGCATTAAACATGTTTAAATTGTTATGTTTTTTTTTATATACAATTTTTCTGACAAATAATACCACGCAAAGAAACGACGGATTGAAGCGAATAATAAATTAAATTAAGTCTAGTAATCTATACGGAAGGTAAACATAAGGTAGAACAATGGTATCTAATTTAGTTATTTACAAAGTAGTGGCTGTAAACAATCCTAAATGGGCGAATAAATTAAACTAACTTAGTATAGAGAAAGTATGAATAAATTAATTGCACCAAGTTTTATGATTAATGACTGCCGTTAGCAGAGTAGGTAGATCGTAAACTACATTTACTGATTATAAAATGAGATAAAAAATGTTAGGAAATCAATTCATTCGTGTAGTTAGTTCTGTGCTATTAATCTTGTAGTGCGTAGCGGTTTTTATGTTGATTATCGCATGCCTCTTACTTGTTACTGTGTATTTATTTATTGAAAATAACATTTATTTTATTTTTTCTTCTTGTATTGAGTATGCGTTCCGAATAAGTGCTAGAATAAAAAAAAACTAATGGGCTTATATGAGATTATTTTAATAAAGATTATTTATATTTCTGTATGTTTTCTATAAAAAAATAAAGACAAAATTTGTATGGCAAGCGTAGTTCATATCGCATTTGGATTAGCATGACAAAAATAATTCAGTTAATTTGAATCATGCCTATTATTCGCAGGAGGAATATTGCATGTTGTAATAATTACTAAAGAAATTATAAATAGTGATTCACGTGATACCTATAGGTATGACATGTAACGACGAATGTAATAATGCATGTATATAATGACATTAATGAAAAAAAAAAAAAAAAAGAACAATAACGCCGTTCGCTCTAAGTTCAACATTCCATTTTAAAATTGAGGCATTTTTTTAAGAAATATTTAATGGCTATTTACGATCTCAAACAGTTATGTCACTTTTATAAATAAAGTTTAACGAAATAATAAAGGAACATTCTTATTTACGTAATACATTTTAATAATTTTTATAGTAGTTAAATAAAATAAAGGCAGAATTATAGAAATAGCCTTGGACAATTTATACAACGTCATCTAATCAATTTTGTGGTGGGCTCTAAAGAAGAAAGGTGTGCCAGGGAAGTATGTAGATCTAATACGTGCCATGTACATCCGGTCTAACACATACGTCCGATCGGCGGTAGGTGCCTCCGAAAAGTTCAGTGTGGCGGTAGGCTTACACCAGGGTTCGGCTCTAAGCCCTTACCTCTTTGAAATGGATGCTCTGACATCGGACATTCAGGACAAGGTACCCTGGTGTATGCTGTTGGCCGACGATATTGTGCTTGTTGGTGAGGATGGAATCGAGGTCCAGAGTAGACTAGATACATGGCACGAAAAACTGGAGAGTGTTGGCTTGAAGATCAGCAGAACTAAAACTGAATACCTATTCTGCGATTTCGGCGGTCTTCCAGTTTCAAGCCTATCTGTCTAAACGGTGTAATGCTTCCGGTCTGCTCCGATTTTCGGTACCTCGGTTCAGTTATTCAAAACAATGCCGACATAGACCGCGATGTAAGGCACAGAATTAGTGCGGGATGGATGAAATGGCGACAGGTTTCGGGAACGATATGCGACCCCCGAATGGCCTTGAAACTAAAGGGTAAAGTTTATAAATCTATCATAAGACCTGTCATTTTGTATGCATCTGAATGATGGGCCGTAAAGGGGATGGACGAAAGGCGTGTGCATGTGGCAGAAATGCGAATGTTAAGATGGATGTGTGGGGTTACCAGCAATGACAGAATAAGGAATGTGTATATACGAGGAAGTTTGAAAGTTGCGCCGGTTATAGAAAAGTTGCGAGGTAACAGATTGAGCTGGTATGGGCATGTTATGAACGGAGGAACGAGGACCATGTCTTATGGAAAGTGTATAATATGAACGTAAAGGGAGGGGACGCC